CCCGTTGTCTGAAGAAAAAGGTAAAGCAAACCCTAGAGGATCGATCGACAACCAATAACGACTTTTAAGAAAAAACAACTGAGGATAAACGCCTCGCTTCAGCTGAAAACCTGTAATAATACAAGCATCACGCATCCGACATAAATGTGACCGTCTTCTGTACGGCGTGGAGTGGTGTGGCAAATAAAAAGCCTGCTGTTTGTGCGAAAAAATATCCAAGCAACATGCGTATTCGTGGTCGTTATCACCGTTTTCAGTTTCACAGTTTCGTGCTAATCCTGGCGGCTGTAATCCCTTTTTGAGAACGAAATGGAAAGACTGAGTTCGTGCAGCTCCTCAACTAAACAAAACTCGACAGCCAATCACTCAATAACTCTCTCCGGCTTTCTCTCTTCTAATCGCTCCTCCTTTCCCGCCTCACCCACCCCCTTAACCCCACAGACCCCTGCAAACTCAAATTTTTCTTTCTCTCAGAGCCTCATGCGCACTGTCCACCAAAATCAACTAACCCTATATCTATCACTATGCGTCAACAAACATCGCGTCTCTCATCATTACCATCATCCCTCTGGCTTAACCCTACTTTGTTTATAAAATATGATTTGGTCATTTCGCCTAAATAGTCAGTGTTGCGCGCTTTATGAGAATAAACTAGAATTAAATGTACTTTAATAAAGATTGCCTCATAGCTTATCAAATGGGTTTAAGGCTATTACCAATGTTTTCTTTGTGAAAAATCGCTTTTACAGGTCGAATTTTAACAGGATGTATTTCTCTAATGACCTTGGATGGCTGTCAATACGAACAAAAACTCAATGAGCGTGAGAGGCCTTAATAAACCTAGCAGGACTAAAATAAATAAATCATGCCATCAAATGAGGGAGACAGTGATCAGCGAGAGGCGAGTGAGAGAAAGTCAGAGACAAGGGAAAGAGGGGGGAATGACTTTGGCTCGAGTGGAAGCAGGCTGTCTCCGTCAAGAGGTTTGGATACCACACACAGCGCTCCAGTATCAACTTACGGGCCCGGGGCTGCTGCACATCCCTCGAGTCCATCGTTCATTAGCAAAAGAAAAAGCCAATTAGCCATTTGGACGTCGACAGCTTCCGCCAACAAAGAAGGGTCACTGCAGTCTTCATAGACCATCAGTATAAGTATTCATATTTATTAATGCAAACATCTAAATTATATTTCTTGTAGTTGTCATGCATATTAACGTATTTTAAAAACTGAATGTCACAGATTAACGCATCGCACTCGGTGACCTGTCAGATGAATGTGTATAATATGTTTAATTGATCATCAAAACGATTATCTGATAATGAACATTTTTATCCGTATTGTTTGATTCACACTTATTGGGTCTATTTACAGTTAGCTTTTTTATTATGGCACAGGATATGTTTTCTCTCGCGTTCTCTTTCCCCTCCCTTTTTAATCACCCAACTCTTTTAAGTGTTCTTGTAAACAAATCGAATCAACAATCCCCTAGTTTTAGCTTACCATGAGGATGTGGATTAAAAACATGTTCCCGCGCTATTTAAGCAGTATTTTGCCGGGTTTCCTCCGCCCGCTGTGCGCCTGACCCCCGCCGAGTCCCGGATACCCGCGGCTGCTCAAGAGGAAACCGAGCTCTGCGCAAGACTTTGAACACAGGCCATCGTCATGAGTGTTTGTGCGTAAGAACTGATGTACACTCACTGATCTATTTTCATTACAGTCCTAATTGAGCCACTGTAAACAAGATTTATGACTTAGTCATGGTCTAACGCATACGCATCAAAGAGTCCAGTTAACCTTTTATCTGAGACGACTTTGTGTCTATGAGAACATTTTATTTAAGGGCGATCACGTTTCTTCTTATACATGACAAACAGCCACAATACATATTTTATTTTGGCATGAGTAGTTTTTTTTAATGAAACGAAGTTGATTGCACGTTACTGAAGCTCTATTTTTCACTTTTTCAATAATTCACGTTTATTTCTTTATAAAGGTTAGAATGGTTACATAGGTTAGTGATTTTTAAAGGAATGGTTGGCCTATTTATGCATTTAAAACTGATATGATCAAATAGTCCTGACAGCAAAGGTCATTGTAACCTATTAAACTTAAAGTGAATCATATTCGAACTTAATTTAATAAGTTACGCAAGCTGTATAAGCCAGTTTAACATAATATAAGTTCAACGGACTCATAAAGGTTAATTTGATTCTGCTTAAATTTAAGACATCCAGGATTTTTTAGTGTGCTATTTAATCTCTGAAAACTTGAAACCATTACATTTGATTCAAGTAAACTGATTCAAAAATCTTTATAAAAGTAGATGACTTAATTCATTACAGTGCGTTTGGTCTATAACATTATTATTATTATTATTATTATTATTATTATTATTATTATTATTATTATTATCATTAATATTATGTTTATCTTCTATTTTTTTTATTTCGCAGCATTTCTTTATATCATAAATACCTTTACACTCACAAAAAAGGTACAAAGCTGTACCTAAATTACCTTTACTATATACCTATAGGTATTGAAAGTAGCTTTTTCTGAAAGTTTATTTTATGTAATATTGTTTATGTGTTTCGTACTTCCCTGACCATTGTCTGTATAACCAACGCTTAAATTTACACTGTAAAAAAATCCTGGTTGCGTTAAATTTTTAAGCTGAATCAAATTAACCTTAAGAGTTACCTTATGTTAAACTGACTTAAAACAGCTTGCGTAACTTATAAACTTAAGTTAGAACACGACTAACAGTTTAATAAGTTACAATGAACTAATAAACACATGCTGCCATGACTAATTGATCATATCATTTTTACAGTGTAAGCACACGGATGCAAAAGTAAAGCTTGTGATAGATTTTAATTCTCAGTTAACGGTTTCTTCATACATAAACAGGTGTGTCATTCCGCGAGTTCACCTGCAGGTTGCAGCATCGTACTTAAATGGCAAGCATTTTTAAAGGTAAGCATTAGTGTGAGTCTTCCGCAGTGCCTTGTTTGTGCATTATACGTGCCATGATATCTATATATAACACTTAGTTTTCCTTTAAACAATAACTATTACATACAACCAACATCGAGCGTTATCATTTCTCTAATTTCATTTTTAACCTCACTCATTGTAGGTTTTGTTTTGCGGTATATAACCTACAAAACAACTTTCACATTATTCGTTAATTATTTCATTAATTCACTGGTTCATGCATCCGTTGAGGAGGACTTTAAATTGTTGTAGCTGTACCCGAAGAAAGTCAGGTCCCAGAAGATTTGGTCTGCCCTGTGAATTATAGGCTCTTTATGCTGACCTGAAAATTACAGGAGTGTCAACACAAGATGACGTGTCAGATGACTAAATTTCAAGAGGAAACGATGGCCCTGTTTCAGTACCGCGGACAGCGCAAAATATTTTAAGAGTTTAGACGAGCAAAATAAAATAAACACCTAAAAAACAAATATATAGACAAACAACTAAATGTATAACCATCATACATGAAAAATATAAAATGATTTTTGCTTAATTCCACTTAATTAAATGATATATATATAGTTTTTATGTGTCTGGTAATCTTGTCTTCTGGCGTTTTAGCGAAAATGTGTTGTGTGTTCAAATTTAGTCTTTTTTAGTCAATTTACAAATTTACAGTTTACAAACTAACTTACCATAATTTTTACATTATATTGATCAAGCGCCAGCAAAAAAAGGAAAAACGCACTATGTAAAAAATGTGTGATTTTTTTTTTTTTTTGATCGAGCAGATTTCCATTCCGAGAGCCTAATTTAAACTCAAAATAAAAAGATGTGTTGTTCAACCCGTTGACATAAGATTTGTGTTCGACCCGTTGACTTTGATGGCATGCTTATTTTGCATTTGCTGGCGCATTCAATCCAATTCGACTGATGCATTTACAACTGCTATTATGATATCAGGTGATTATCTTCGGTTTATAACTGAATCAGAATATTTTCGGGTTCAGTTACAGGCAAAGGAATATCATATTTTATATTTTATAGAAATTGTACTTTTATATATCTAGAGAAAACAGAATTTCTGTGATTCTATGAGATTTTTTTTTCTTTTTTTTTCTTTTTTTTTTTTTGCTGTTGCTGTTCCCAACAAATACAGTCTCCAATAATTTTCTGTGACAGTATGCAACTTTTATTTTGGGAGCGCTTGCGTGACTGCTGTGAATGGTGACTCATGCTTGTAGGCGTTTGTTGAATGTTCTGCAATCCTCTAAAGAGGATTTTACTGAAGATTTCTGTTTAAGAAATTTGTATGGTAGCCTAGTTTTATTCGTATTAATTCCTAACCCTTTAAGTCCACCGTCACCTCTGCCAGATAATATTATTTTCTTCCCCTTCCTAGATGTTATCTGTGTTTTAACACAAATATAAGAAACCGTTTAGAAAAAATGGGGAACAAATAGTTTTAAAATAAAATATATTTATTTAGGCAAACGGTTCCATTTAAGAGCTTTTATAACCCGTGGAACCTTTTTATTCAACACAAGGGCTTTACAGTGACTTCATTCTCAAATAAATTATTATTTTAAGAGCTCTTTAAAGAATGGTTCTTTCTGGAACCCAGAATGGTTCATGTGGCATTAAAGACTCTTTTTGTAGTCTTTATAGAGACCTAAAATAAAATTGTTTTAATAATAACTGTTTTCCAATTATTTATAATTATTAGGATATATTTAGTGTGATTTGATACGGATTATTAATTGAAATCATTTGAGCGCTATACGGTTGCTATGGTTATGGTTTGCTGTTTTATAAGTTAGGTTATGATGCATTTTTGTTACTTTTTTTCTAATTAATACTTAGAAACTTCTTAAAATCAAAAATTCTCAGTGTGGGTGCTTATATTGTTTGTTATGCACACGTATGACAGATTTCGGCAAGTGCTTAAAATCATTGTAGGTAAAAGAGTTTGTCATAAAAACGCTAGCTAGCAAGAATAATAAAACAATATGCTTTGATTCTCTGTCATATTTTCTTTTATTGACAAAAGTACTGCTTATGTGTTCCACCTGCTTGAGCACAGCTCTAAACAAACCATAACATTTACACAAACATAAAACACGGTACAGGTACAACCCAACACAGTTTTACAAAGAAGCAGACTACGTTTTAAATACACATTCTGTTCATAATTATTGACATGGTTGTGCCATCGTTTACAAGAAATGAAAGTGGAATTAGTAAACACTGTGCAGTGGCGCGTCATAGATTATTTAAGACATCTAAACAGGGCATGCAGCACTGCAGTAAGCATGTGTTCTTTGTGCATGCGCTTAAATCACAAAACCACAAACATACAAACTGTTTCACACTATTTAACAGAGCAAAGTGCACATAAAGGGTGTGTCAAACACCAAAGAAGTAGCGTTTATGTGTGTGAATGTTTCTTGTTTACACTTTCATTTCATGACAGCAAAGAGTCTATTCTGAAGGGGTGAAATCCAGCCTCTTGTAGAGTAGTGTGGGAGTGTGCCAAACCCGGAAGGGAACTCTGTATGTCCGCCATTCGACTGATGTTAGAAATGTCCGCGGTATTACACCTGTAGATTGGAAAGACATTCGACACCTCAGAACTGACCTGGAATCTGCTCTGTGGCGGATAGCCCATGGCAACTGGCAGAAAGTGAGGAGCAGCTGACAGCATTAGTCTGGTGGTACCAAAACAAGTGTCATCTGTGCTCTGCTCCCTCCGCATGAACGGTTTGCTGAGGATGCTGTCTATGGCGAAGGAGCTGGAAAACTTAGAGACGCTTTCGTCGCGCGCTGGAAGCCTGCTGTCATCCGCGGGCACGCGCTCTGGGGATTCCGCGCTGCCCAGGATCTTCTTACTGATGCGCTTCCTCCTCCGGCGGAAAACGCCGTCTGCAAAAGTGTACTCGCTGTGTGGGTTCAACATCCAATAATTGTCTTTGCCCCACGGACGCGAGGGATCTCGCAAAACTTTTAAAAAGCAGTCGTTTAATGACAAGTTATGCCGTACAGAGTTTCGCCACCCCGTGTAGCTGCCCCGAAAAAACGGGAATTTTTTCATTAAGTATTCGTTTATTTCAGCAAGTGTAAGACGACCGGTGTTGGAATCGCGTATGGCCATTGCAATAAGTGCAATGTAAGAGTAAGGTGGTTTGGGTCTACGCGTATATGGTTTCGCCTTCCCGTCCGGAACAGGGGCACCGGGTCCTGGACTGTTGGCTGAGCAGTCTCCATCCGAGCCCAATTCCTCCTCCGTGGACAGCGGTGAAGCCACGTTCACATCCATGTCACTGCACAGGTCCAGCGGCTTGTCCACAAGGCGACTCGCAGAGAAAACCTCCAACTTCATTGTCAGGTCAGATGAGTTGCTTATAATGAAGACGTCTGCTGTTTGTTTTGAGCAAAGCTGCTCAGTCTTAGTCAGGGTTTTGAAAGCGATGAGAGTTATCACTTCCTATCGGTTAAGAAGTCCTCATGGGAGAACGGAGTACACCGGCGGGTGTTAATATAGTAATCGCTCCTAAAGGACAGCCCACGGGGGCGGGCTTACACTCCAGACCTATCAATCAGAAGCGCATTCACGCGAGTTAAGGATTTTGAGACACTCACCTGCCCCCGTGTGAGGTTTGGAGTGGAAAGGGACATTTTTTATATGAAACATCTTTGATTGAGGACATTTAAGTTGTTATAAAGCCCAGCAGTCGACTGTGTGAGGGTTATGAGGGTATGTTATAATTGCATCAAATATAGAAGTCACAAAAACAGTTGTATTTGATATATTCTTGCAAATTTTCTGAAACGAAACCATCATAAATTATAAATGACTTGTGATGATGCATTTGTTGTGCATTCTATTTAATGTTTACATTTTCTAAAAGTTATAATAGAAGATTCTAATAAACTACCTAAAATCAGCTGTAATGTACGAGCCAGCCCAGAACATGCACATGGCTTATTGTAAGGGTATAATTGTGTAAATGTTTAGTATTTTTAGTTCACGGTAAACAAAGTAAAAACAAGTGCTAGTTGTTGATAAGCATTTTTTTATTTATCGTGGCCCTCATCAGAGAATAGCATTCTTTAATGATAAGCAGTTATTGCTAGGCTTGATCCAACGTTAGTTTCCCCATTCTTCTTATTCATTCTATACAGACATAAATAGGCCCTACTAGACAAAAGGAACATACCTGCTAATTCATTTGAACTGTGAAATTGGCAAGTTGACCCCGCCACGGTATGTGGAATGTCACACCTGATTCTGACGCACCCAATACCTGACATCAACGTGTTACTCACGATCACTCTTTGTAAACTGAGTTTACATGTTTAATGAAACAATTTGCTCATGGCAGTTGCTGACTTTTAAAAAGAATGGGGAAGTTTACTGCACTTATGATGAGCTTGGAAGAGAGCCACATACTGTATACCTAAAACGTTACGAGATCACACACAGGTCAGAGTGTATGAAAAAAAAATCAATGCAACAAACACCTGTCTAAAAAAATCCTTCTTATTCTTTCTCCAGAGGTGAAGGCACAGTGAAAGGTCATGGAGTTTCATAAGTTCCTAACATGCCCTAAGGTGAGTGATAATCATTTAACTGTCTTTTGAACCACACCTACATAAAGCCTTTGGGATATTTTTTCTTTGAGTGAATCCAAAACATTCTCTTGTGCTCCGATGGTGTGTGTAATTTTCTGGGTTCATGGGGCAGGCAAGCAAGCCTGTGCGACTTGTGGTGTGTGTGTCTATAAACACACGCACACAAATACACATACATACACAAATGATTATATAGTCGTCCATGGAGACAGTCTAATCATGTTACTGTTGGGTTGTAGGTAACCATAACTTAAATTTCCATGGAAAAAAGGATTTTTGTAGCACACGGGGGTCTAGAAAAACATTTAACCCTATTGATCTTAATTGAAAACACAACTCACTGAAGTTTAAAATATACAGTCACAGAAGTTTGAAAGAATGTAACTTAAGTATATTAAGAATTTGTATTTTTCTGGGTGTCCATTTAACTCTCTTGTTTGATTCCTGGGTACAGTTTTCATGTTGCCTGCTATAAATAATTACTTAATTAATTTATTTATTTATTTATTACTTACTTAACCAGATTCACTAAAAATTCACAAAAAATGCCACTACAACATTATACTTCTCAAACATTTTAACAACAGCAACAAAAAAACATACAAATATGTTTAAAATTTATTATTCCACTCTTTGATACTGATTGTTTTAGAAGAATCGTAAATAAACATAGAGGAAATATTATTTAATAGTATTTAATAGTATTCTGTTTGAGGTATGCTTACCATGCTATGCTGTTTAATGATCTTTTTTATGTGCATATATTTAGATTCTTTTTTTTCCCAAACTGATCGACAGCATAGAATAAGGATTCAAGCAAACATTGTTTCTGTCATCATTGATTCTCCACCTCTTCTAAACTCATGTTTTTTTTTTAATTGATGAAAATAATAATATAAATAAATACAATTTTAAAATGGAGAACATTGAAAATCAAACATTTGACCACCATAATCTTCAGTGGACTTCTGTGGAAGTACTGTCTTAATAAAGGTTCTTCATTGAAGACTCCACGAAGAAAGTTTTAATATGTATATAACCCTTTTATTTTACAAAATGTTTTATAATAGTTTCAATAGGGTATTTAGATGAAGTTGATGCAGAAAATATATGCAAAAAAATATTTAAAAAACATTTACCTCATTGGTCAACCAAAAATCATATGGCATTTCTACAAAAATCCCTTTTGGAATCTTTAATTTTAAACATTTGGTACTACACTTAAAACTGCTGGATTAGCACAGAGTTCAGAAAATTATGGACAAACCCAGTGGCAGGTTTATATTTAAAAAAAAATTGAACCCATCTATTTTGTTTGTCTATATATTCCTTATTTTTAATTGAAATAACCACATTTTAAGGGTGCAGTTTTGTGTTTTGGAGCAACTTAAGGATTGTTTTGAAGTGAACTATGCCTTAAAGGTGTGTGCGGAATCAAATTTAGTTATGCTGGGTTTGTAGTTAGGTAGCTTGTACACACATCAGCATAAATTACCCATCTTCACAATATAACTTGTGTGCGTACTGCTAAAATCATTCATGCATCTCAAAAATTACAGAGCTCCATTGTCATATGTAACCATACTTTGTAAAATCAAGCATTTTAAAACTGAAAAAAAAAGAGTTCTTGGTAAATTCACTCACACAAACCACACATGAAACCCAGATCAACTTCCTTTATAAACAACAAAGCTCTTTACTTTGATGAAGCGTCTTGAAATAAATTGTGTCCTGATGTATGATGCTGGCCACATTTCTGCTCAGAGACCAAACGTCTTTGAATATCCCTGGATATATTCAAAAACCTTGACTGCTTCCCCAGTCATAAACTCAAATAAATATGAATTTAGCAGTTTGGCAATGTGCGCGGCTTTAAACCGCTGCAGTCAGATAGAATTTCGGCCCTGTGCTTACTCATTTCCCTCACTATTCCAAGACCAAATGATTTCCAGCAGCCTGAACACTTGAGCAGGCCAAAAGCTGACATTTAAAGGGCATGTCAAGCAGTCTTTCTCCTCTTTATAAGTGTAATCGAATGCTAATAGAAAGAGGCAGAATTAAACGGTTGGCTGTTTGATTTTTGTCCAGCAAGAGTCTCCGGAGCTGTTTATTTGTGACGGCTAAAATGATCATTTTGCTCATACCTGTTGTGTTAAGCCATCTGATAACTTCAGGCCCTCTGTCTGTAATGCTGTGTGTGTGTGTGTGTGTGTGTGTGTGTGTGTGTGTGTGTGTGTGTGTGTGTGTGTGTGTGTTTGTGTCTATGTGTTTGTATGCGCGCAGGTGTGCGTGTGGTTTATCTTTTTTTTTCCTTCTCAAAAAATGCAGGTGTCATGATCTTTTTCTCAACACAAAAAGTTCAAAGTCATCTATTTATCTTCTGTCTAGCGTTTAGATAGGATCCAGCACTTGATCAACACCATGCTTATCTTTTTAGCTTTAAATACTGACGAAGCCATCAAGCATTTCAAGAATTTGTTTGGTTGTCTGGGTTTTATTTAGGAAATGAAAGGTTTTGATGTTTAAATATGGACTATATATAATGTAGAAATGGATAGATTTCTTTAATTTAATGGTATTTACTGGTTTAACCATTTAAGTTAAATGTAGACTAGCAAGTCACAAGATAAATATCCATCCATGTTCACATACATTATGCTTTAGTATCACTGGGTCACTATTGTGTGTGTGTGTGTGTGTGTGTGTACGTGTTTTTGTGACATATCAGGACACAAATCTGTATAATGACATGGGTATGACACAGGTATTACAAAAAGGAGGTGAAATATGAGGACATTGGTGACGTCCTCATTTCTCAAAATGCGTATAAATCCTACAGAATGAGTTTAATCAGAGAGTAAAGCTGCACACTGTCTACTGTGATAGTTGGGTTTAGGGGTAGGGTGGGGTGAGGGCAATACAATATACGGTTTGGGCAGTATAAAATGAATGGAAACCTATGTAATTTCCCCACTTTTCACAAAAACAAACGTGTGTGTGTGTGTGTGTGTGTGTGTGTGTGTGTATATATATATATATATATATATATACAATATTTTAAAAATAAATATTGTTTTGTTTCAGTTTATATTTTAGCTTTATGTAATTTTAGTTAATAGTTCTTTTAAGTTGATGTTTATTTTAGTAAGCAAAAAATATTTTAGTTTATGGTTTTAGTTTTATTCTATAATATCTCAGTTTGTGACGTAAACATAATTCTAAAAAAACCTATTTAATTAATATAAGATTTGTTTGTTTTTTATAAGACCATACTGAACTCCCAGATTTTTCTTTGTATGTCTAGCTTTATATATTTTTACATTAGCCTCTACTTTAGTTTTCTATTTAGTTATTTTAGTTTTTAGGTTAACTAAATTAAACTTTTTTTTTTTTTTTTTTTTTTACGATTTGAACTTTTTATTAATTTTTTCTTTTTCAAATAATGCAGATGAATATCAAATACAGAGCATTAGCATAAAAGCAGAACAATACAACATAAATAAATACAATAAATAAATAACACCATATCAGTTACAAAAGTAAACCAAACCAAAAAGCACACAAGTAAAAAAAAGAAAAAAGAAAACGAAAAAAACAAAGAAGGGTGGGGGGTTGCTAATATCTTAACCTTAATTATTATTTTGTCTTGTTACATGTTTACTTACATTGTGGGTTGCAGAAATTTACAAATTTTCCCCATTTATCAAAATAAATTCAATTCTTCCATGTAAACCTTAGGAGAGTTTTTCATAGGCTGCAACTTGTCCTAACTCGAGATCCACTCGAAGATCGGAGGTCTACTGGAGGATTTCCAGTTTTTAACAATCAGCCGTCTGCCTAGC